TGAACCTGAGTGAGGACCCTCGCAAGCAGCAAGCCAAGGTGAGGGCTCTGCCTGGAGCTGGGCATCCTGGTGGTCAGCCCTGCTCTGGGCTGTCTGGGCATGTCTCTCCGGGCACTTTCGGTCAGTGTAGTTTCCTTGTGATGGGCCAGAATTGTGTTGCGTAACTCTGACGGCGTGTGGCTAAGTAGAGCACGGGTGGCCAGTGTCCGCCTGCCCGCGCTCCGAAGTTGTGGGTAACAGCACAGAAGTTTCTGAGGAGCCGCGAGGCCCTGCAGAGCTGCTTGCTTTCCGTTCTCGTTACGGATGTTCGTTCCTGTTGTACCGAGGCCCGTCAGGCTGCTGGGCTCATGTTTGCCTGTGTGGAATCTGGAAGGGTAGTGTGGCCGCCCTGTGGAGCAGTGCCGAGCAGTTAGTTCAGGAGGGTGGGACCGCGTCTACCCCAGAGCCTCCGTCTAAGCTGTGAGCTTCTCAGTGTGTAATGTGCAGACTGGGAGGCGTGAGCTGTGCTGGAGTCGGGGTCGGTGAGCAGTTAGCAGACATAGCAGCAGTTGTTGGCGTTCAGGACCTTCCTACGCCTGTTCTCGGGGCACACTTTAAATCTGTTCAGAAAGCTTGAGGTGCAGGTCCAGCTGTGGAGCGAGGCCGTGCACCCAGCTCTGAGTTCTGACGCCCTCGTTGGTCCCCAGGTCTCCAGCTACGCCTCGCTGTTCGCGCAGGCACTGCCGAGAGATGCCACTTCGACGCCCTACTACAGCGCCCGGCCGCAGACCCTGGCGCTGAGCTACCAGGACCGGAGCACGCAGTCCGCCCCAAGCGCGGGCAGCGCAGGCAGCAGCGGCATCAGTAGCCTTGGCCTATGCGCCCTCAACGGCCCGACGCCCACGCCACAGTCTCTCCTTCCAGGGTAACTCAGAGGGTGGCCAGAGCCCTGCACTCTTGCCCAGGGTCTGAGGTCACCGCTGGGGCCCTTGGTGCCTTGTATGTGACAGGCGTGTTCCGGGCTCTGTGGCTGATGCTCCTCCTCACAGCCACATTGCAGGGGCTTTCCATGCCTTTCTTTCTAAGTTTGTTTCATTTCCTTTATGAGAGAGACAGCCAGGCAGGCAGGCAGGCACCCCCAGGGTTCGCCCTCAGCCAGCCAGCAGAGGGTGTGCTGGGATGCAGATCTGGAGCTCCCGTGTCGCCCCCTGTGTGGCCTCCCGTGCCCAGCTGCTGTGGCTGGCCCTCTTGTCACCTTCGTTTTTTAATTGCCAGAGAGTACGCACAGTCGGCAGAGACAGACACTTAGGGCAAGGGAGAAGGAGAAACCCCCGTGGGGCATGGCCACACTGTAATTCCTTCCTCTTCCGTTCTCCATCCTGTGGGGACTTTGGACTCACTGCACACATGCCCAGCATGATTTTTAAAGCTGCTGGCCTGGGTTTGAACCATGGTCAGCCGTGTGGTTGACCTCTAGGTGATGGGGCCAGCCCTAGAACTTCGCTTTCATTTACTCATTTTAAAAGTATTTATTTATTTTTTTGCCAGAGGATATGTGTGCTGGAGACAGAGGACAGGGACCCCCTGGGTACAGTTACCTGACCGTCCTTTCTCCTCCATTTCTCTGCTCTTTCAGGACTTGGGGCATAAAGATGCACATGCCTTGCATGTTTTTCAGGTTGTAGGGTCTGCTCAAACCGCATGGTCAGCCGTGTGGTACCCAGTGCCCTAGTCCGGCCCTGAGCTGACCCTGGGACTTTGTTTTTGTTATACGTCTCCATGTCTCAGGGTACGGATGGCTTTGCCTTTTACCGTAGTCCCTTTGAGAAGCCACGTTAATGCACGTCGTCATAAAGTAGATACTTTCACATCAGTGGCCGAGGGCTCAGCCTCAGGTAGGCGTTTTCCACACGAGTGTGATAGAGTGGTAACTTTGTGAGCCACACGGTTGTGTTCACGGTACTAGGAGATATTTAGTGTGTGCCACACATGGGTTATCAGTAGTCTAGTGTTTCATAAAACATAGCACACTGAAAAATAGTGCTCGGGCCAGCAGGTGGCGTGGTGGTCAGGGCACTGGAATCCCTTGGCTCACTGCCGGTTGCTTTCTGGACCCAGCGGCTTGAAACATCACGCTGGGCACGTGTGTGCGCTGCACCCAAAGTCCCAAGTGGAGAATGGAGGAGGAGGGACTGTGGTGTGCCATCTCCTGGGAGGGGATTTTCCCTCCCTCTGTCTGCCTCTGGCATGGCGGGTGCATGTGCCCGATGGCAAAGCCTTCAACAACAGTACTTGGTAAACTGAACCTAGAACTCACGTTCTGGCTGAAAGAGCAAGCTGATGTTTCCGCTCGTGCTTGGAATAGTCACCATCATTATGGAAAGAGCTGTAGAGACGACTCGGAACCAAGCCCGTAGAACCACCCTCTTGGAACTACGCTCAGACTTCTGGGAGCGGTGCCAGCTCTTTCCCACTGACCTGCATGAAGTCAGGGCTGCTTCCGCTCGCCTGCCTGTGTCCCCTTGCACGAGTGTGCTGCTGGTGGGCCTACTCGCAGCCGCGGGGTGGGGTAGGCGTGCTGCTGAGGGCCCGGTGTCCGTGCTCCACGGTCCCTGGAGTCCGGGACGTGGCACATCCATTGCATGTTCCCGACGTCAGCAGCAGGTTCTCCTGCTCGGAGTGAGCCACGCTGATGCCTGCAGGACTGCTGATGCCGGCGGGCCCTGCCCTGGCCCTGCCGGTGTGTTCCGCGGGGCACGCCTTCATGCATCTTGCCGTTAGCTGAGGTTGCAGCATTTCTCTCCACCGTGGGCACCCTGAGGCCAGTGCTCAGTGAGGAAGGCGGGCGGGCAGTGGCGTGGGCGTCCCCATCTCTGTGCTCACCGAGCGGGGTGAGAGGAGGGTTCCAATTTTGAAGTTAAAGTTAGCGGAGAGTTTCAAGGTGGCATACATAACACATCTGTGTGTTAGTGAAGGAGAGAGCTGTGTGGGAGGTGCAGTCTGGGTGGACTGGCACTGCTGTGTCACTTGGGTGCTGGACCCTGGGTCCACAGGCCTGGGTAGCTTCAGGGACTCGGGCACGCTGTCACTGACGTCCTCAGTTGCACAGGTTCACGTAACACAGTGCCACAGCAGGACGGTTCTGGGAGCACTGGGCCTTCCGGTGAGCAGCCTTGTCATCCAGGACAACACTTGTCCCTTCCTTCCTGCAGACAGTCCCACCAGGCTCCCGGAGTAGGGGATAGCCTTCGCCAGCAGCTGGGGTCCCGGCTCGCGTGGACTTTAACTGCAAACCAGTCTTCTTCACAAGCCACTGCCTCCAAAGGTGTCCCCAATGCTGCTTCCCGCCACGTGCCCAGGCCCAGGAGAGAGGGGGACCCCGCTGGTGAGTGAGGGCCTGCTGCAGCCAGTGCGCTGCCCGAGAATGCCCTGGAACCTCCTGCGCCTTCTCGTGACTTGGGACCAGGATACCCCGGGGCCTGAGTCTTTTCCCAGTGTCACCCTGCCCTCTCATTCCCGTGGCAGCTGGTTGTTCGGGTGACCTCCTCCCTCTACGTCTCTGCTCTGCCCCGTCACGCCTGCCCCCTGCTCTGTTTACACCCTCCTGTCTTCCTGGGAGAGCCCAGGCTTGGTGAAGTTGCCTTTTCCCACCAGAATCTGAGTTCTCCTGTGGGGCTCTCTGGCTAGCCACAGTGTCTGGGCTGAGCACGGTGCCCGAGATGAGGGGACTGCCCAAGTGTTAATTGGTGGTGAAACGGACATCTCCTGGAGGGTTTGGAGCCCACTTGGTTCCAGGAGGTTGGTCTACCAGTAGCAGAGTCTTGAGTCCCGGGTGTCCCGTAGTCGGCCGCCCTCTGCTGTGAGGTGCTGTCGGTGTCACCTGGCCTCGTCTAGAAAATGACCGTCAGGATGTCCTGGAGCCCTCGCCCTCGGGAGACGTATCTGGCCTCTGGCCTGCCCTGCCTAGCCCTGTGTAGCTCTCACTCCTGAGCACAGCAGCTGTGCACTGGGCCATGTGGGGTGGCTGCCCTGTGGGAACGGTGCCACGTGGGCTGCTGTGCATGCGGGAGCTGTGCGTGCCTGGCACAGCGCCGGCCTCTACACCGGGTGGGAGCGCTCCAGCTCGGCCTGCCCCTCTGCTGTGACGCCAGCCGTTGCCCTCTGTCCTAAGAGGGCACGGACGTGCCAGGTGTCGTTACGAATCGAGAGAAGCAGCAGAGGAAGGAGCACGGGGACAGTGTGGGCAGTGAGCAGGGCCTGGCTCCTAGGGCCAGCTGGAGAGGGGACCCTGGGCTTCTAGACAGCAGCAGCCACGACACCGCACGCTCCGTGCTGCACACGGGAGACGGCTGTAGGCCGGGGCACGCAGCTGCAGTGAGTGGAGGGGACAGGCTCCTCGTAATGTGCCACGAGGAAGCCGGTGGCCGGATTGATGGCAGGGCGATACCAGGGAGATGAGGGGGCTTTCAAGATGATGGAAGGGTTGGTTCTTTAGGGAGCACAGTGCCTGAACCTGTGCTCACCTGCTGGGCTTCTCCGTGCAGAGGAGAGCTGGCAGGATCAAAGACGCAGGCCCAGCCGGCCAGTGGGGCTGCTGTGTCGCCTGCGTCCCCAGGCAAGTGATGGAGCAGCAGACAAGGCGGGTAGCAGCGGGATGGCCCAGCTCTTGTCTTTGTCTGCACTCGCCCCTGCGCCTGACTCTTTGAGGGGTGGGGGCATGGCCCCACGCTGTGCGCGCCAGGCCTCGCTCCTCCCACCATGGCCTGGGTTTCTGGGCAGTGCCGTGGCTTCCTGGTCTTGGCTTCACACCCAGCCCAACTCAGCTTTTGTTCAGGGTGTAGTGGAAGCCCCGTGTGCCTGTTCCGAGCCGTCAGTGCTTATCCCTGTGGTGCTGTGGGCGGGGCCTGTGCAGGGGCACCTGCTGAGCCGTGGGGCAGGCCGGCCTCCCGACTTGTCTGTCAGACACCCGCCATTGCGGGGCTGTGCTCACTCCTGCAGCAGCCTTGCCTTCAAGGGACTTAGGGGACACCTCCTGGTCCCCACCCTCTTCCCAGAGTCCTGGCTGCCTCTGGTCTTGCCGCGCTTGTTCTCCCAAAGCTCGTGTATTGAGTTTGGTGGTTTGTCCTGGTTGCAAAATACGTACTCCCAAGCCAGTCGTGCCGTCAGGCGGGCCCTACCTTGGAGTCGCCGTTTGGTCGTGACCGTCTTTTCAAAATCGTTTCCAGGTCCCACGGAAGTTACTGAGGCGGCTCTCGTGAGAGACATCTTGTACGTCTTCCAGGGAATCGACGGCAGGAACATCAAGATGGACAGCGCCGGAAATGGCTACAAGGTGGAGGGCAAGGTGAGGTTCGGGGCCCGCTGTGACGGCCTCACGGAGAAGACAGCGTCCCTGCAGTGCGCATCAGCACAGAGCACAGGCGCTCGACTCCCGAGCACCGGGACTGCTCCTTGGCGTGTCCAGCTCCGGTCTACCTCCCTGTTCCTGTGTGTGGCCTGTGGGGCTTTGTCCCGGGGACCCCGGGGCCAGTACTTGGCTCTCTCCCTGGCCTTCATGACGGGCCACCCCGCTTAGCTGGTCTCTGTGATGCAGAGGTCCCTGAGGGTGGGGGTGCACTTGCCATCTTTGCCAAGAACAGGGTCTCAGGGAAGGGGGCTTTGTGGGCTTCTGTCCTCCAGAACCTGCCTTTTTGCAGCCCGTGCTTGCGTGGTGTGGCACAGGGCCTGTTAGTCCCTCTCCAGGCCTAGCCACCCAAGCCTCCCCGTTCCCCGGCGCTGTCTCTGCCGTCCTGAGGCTTTGTCTTTCCATTCGCGGTGGTTCCATCCTTCAAGGCTCGCGTGTGGAAGCCTGAGCGTCCTGCCAGGCAGGGAGAGCACGTGCGGCCCAGGCGGTGGAACCGGGTTCTGGAGCCGAACCTCAGTGCTGCTCCCTTCTGTTCAGGCGAACCTCAGCAAACCCCTCCGGGACACGACACTCAGGCTTGCCGAGCTGGGCTGGCTGCACAATAAGATCCGGAGGTACACCGACCAGCGCAGTCTGGACCGCTCGTTCGGCCTCGTGGGCCAGGTATGTTGCCAGTGCTCCAATGTTGGCCATGACGCTCACCTTGGCAACGCATGCCCTCCTCAAAACCACTCCGCACGTGACTCTTATCAGGACTCTTTTTAAGTAAAGCAACTTCGCTCATCGAAGGCAGTGGCAGTCAGGGTCCACTCGGAAGATAGAAACCACTCAGGCCTTAAGGTAGGCGAGTGCCTTGGACAGTGATGTGGCCGCTGCAGGACTGGGAGAGCTGAGCAAGACAGCCGAGACAGGAAGTAACCCGGAAGCAGGCAGGCCGGGATTAGCAGGTCCTGCAGGCCTGGGGGTCACAGGTCTGCAGACTGAGCACACCGCCATGGCAGCAAGTGCCCTGGGAGCCCAGGAGGCCAGACTTGAGAGTGCTCCACGGCGGCTGGAGGGGACCCACTGCTGCCCCCTGGGCAGCCCTCAGGCAGCATGGCCTCTCTGTGAGGCAGTGGCCCAGGAGATGTGGGGTTCCTGGAGCCCCACCCCACCACGTGCCCCAGTAGAGGCTTGGGTGGGCCACTGCACATGGGTATGTGGGACCATGGCAGTGCACACCCCACGGCTGGCACCCAGCAGGCGGCACAGATGTTGGCCGCAGTGTGGTGTGGTGCCCAGGGCTGCCATTGGGCTCCCGGCGGTGGCTGCATCTTCTTGCACCGGCCCCTGCCTCTGGGTGCAGTTCACCGTGGGAGGGAGGGACCGAGAGGTGGGGAGCGGATGCACGCAGGTGCCCCACTGTAGGCCACAGCCGGTCTGGTGGTTGGCTGGCTGGGCAGGCCACCCTCCCTCGCTGTAAGGGCAGCGGCCATGGCGGCCGGGCTCCACCTGCCATCTGCCTGTGAGCTATGGTCCCTGAGTCATGGCCCTTGTCCACGGTGACTGTCCATCACGTGTTTGCCGTGTCACCCCACGCCTGCGATGCCACTGTGGTAGTCAGGAGGGAGGTGGGAACCAAAGAAGCACAAAGAGGGCCAGGAGACGGAATGGCCGCTCAGGTGTTCGACTGCAGTACACGGTGGCTGACAGTGACAGCCGATGTGCTGGCTTCTCAAGCCTCTTCTCGGCTCACAGACCCCATTACAGCCCCCAGGGGGAACCGTGTGAGCACCGACCCTCTGAATGTTACTTGATCTGCCCGAGTTGTCCTAGCTTGTAGGTCACAGACACGGGGCCGGAGAGCTGCGTGGACTCTCGTTCCAGGCTCCCCATTTCACTCCCGTCTCCCGCTGTTCTGGGTCACTGCCGCATGCCCTGCGCTTGCTCAGGAAGGATGGTGTAGCCTGTCAGAGCATCGCATGCTTGCTCGGGTGGCGCTGCGAGGCCAGCTGTCTGCCTGCAGTGCTGCTGGGATTTTTTTTTTTTTAAATGAGTTTTTTTTGGCCATAGGGTGCATGTCCTCACCAGAGACAGAGGCAGAGAGAGGGAAAGTAAGAAGTCACCCCCAGGGGTGGTAGCTTTGCCGCGGTCTCTTCCCTTCCATTCTCCTGTTGGGATTTTGGGCAAGCACACACATGTGCCTGGCATAATTTCCAAGCCGCCAGGTCCCGGCTGGGACTGGTCCACCATGTAGGAGTCCAGCGCCTTAACCACTGTGCCTGCTGGCCCTGGTGCAGGGACTGTTACGAGGCCCCACATAGTCTCGGGGGGCCCTGATCTTAGAGATAATGCATGCAGCAGAATCTTACAAAGAATGCACTCCTTGCTAAGAGGTCCGACACTCAGGAAGCAGGGTGGGAAGCCCCAGCGGCCCTCTGGGGAGTCAGCGGGGGACACGTTTTTATCTCCAGCTCATGCCCCCACTGAGGCCTGGCTGCAGCCGCTGAGGCACATCTGCACGGGCCGGCTCGGTTCTGGCCCAGCCCACACAGGCTGGGTGTGATGGTGTGCGCTGGGGTCCTCGCCAACTGGGAGGCGAAGGCCGGGTCGTGACCCAGGGAGACCCTGACAGGTTCCTGCCCCTCTCCTACACGCGGATGCTCTCTCTCCCTCTCATCAAAAAAAGGACCACGCGAGAACCATGGTCTAACGCTGAGAATTCCGATAGTCTTAGAGTGAGGGAGGGTTCTCCGTGATGACAACGCTTCGGCCTCTGAGAACTGCGCTGCGTCTGCCGAGGACTGACAGCTGCCTGGCCTTCTCGAGGCGCATGGTGGTGGTGAGGCTCCGCAGAGCCGGGGGTGCACAGTGCGCACTGACTGCGCTGTGCCCCGAGGACGGCGGGCCCTCACTGCCCTCCTGCCCCCACAGAGCTTGGCCTTCTCGAGGCGCGTGGTGCGGTGAGGCTCCGCAGAGCCGGGGGTGCACAGTGCGCACTGACTGCGCTGTGCCCCGAGGACGGCGGGCCCTCACTGCCCTCCTGTCCCCGCAGAGCTTCTGCGCCGCGCTGCACCAGGAGCTCCAGGAGTACTACCGCCTGCTCTCCGTCCTGCACTCCCAGGTAGGTGCCTCTGCCCCGGCCTCGTCACTGGAGTGCCACGCATGACGGCTGCGTCGAGTGTTTGACTGCCGCATGCTGCTTTTTAAGTTTTACTAGGAGGTGTGTGTGCTTGCCAGAGACAGAGACGGAGAGAGAAGGAAAGCGGGGACTCACCTGGTCGCCCGGGACGATGGTGCCGTAGTCCCTGGCCCCCCGTCCTCCTCTTGGGACCGTGGGCACGTGCACTCCTGCACTCCGACTTTTCAGGCGTGGGGTCCAGGACTCACGCTGTGCGGCCGTCCATGTGGGGTCTGGCACCCCGACCTGCACGCCCCCTGCTGGCCCATATGTTACTTTTTCGAGGTAGCCATTTCTAGGGGCTGCGTAATGACAGAGCTTCCTAGAGCTGACAGCTGCCAAGCCAGGGTCACGCGCTCCGTGACGACCGCAGCTCGGAAGTGTCGCTGTTTTTGCAAAGGGCTGTTTTGTGCCAGTCTGGGGACCATTACTGGCACACACTCAGGTCGCGGGTTGGGGCGGTGTGACCTGGGTCACTTTAACACGCTCTCCATTGGTTTCAGCTACAGCTTGAGGGTGACCAGGGTGTGAGCTTGGGACTTGAGAGCAGCTTGACGCTGCGGCGCCTCCTGGTGTGGACCTACGACCCCAAAATCAGGCTGAAGACCCTGGCTGCCCTGGTGGACCACTGTCAAGGTCACCCTCTGGAACGCGACACCAGCGCTGTCCCGGGAGTGCCGTCTGGCCCTGCCGCGTCCCCCCCTTTGTGTCCTTAACAGCCGGGGGTGTCTAGCTTGGATCCTGACGCCCGTGCAGGGATGCAGCCAGGCGCGGCGTGGTCCAGGGCCGTGCCGCGGGTCAGCAGGGAGGAGCAGGGCCCTTGGTGCCAGCGCCGCCTCTCCTGAGGGCCTTGGGCTGCCCCTCCTGCCCTGCGCAGCTCTTTGCTTTTAGATAGGGTCTTGCCGTCTTGATCCTCCTCAGTCCGCCCAGCTCCCAGTCAGGGTGGCAGGCCACCACCGGGCCCTGCTCGTCTCTGGCAGGGTCTGTCTGGCCAGTCTAGCCTGGAGCTCATGATCGTTCTGCCTCAGTATCGCGAGCTGCTGGGATCACAGACATGTGGAGCCGAGCCTCCCCGTGGCTCCTCCTGTAGGGCACGGCATCCTCGCGTGCACTCGGCCTGGGCGCCTCCTCACCGCCTCTGTGGCCACCTGCCCCAGCCGGCGTGCGCTCCGCCCGTGTTCCTCCTGAGGCCGGCCGCGTGTGTGCTCACCATCCAGGTGCCAGCAGTCACCGAGTGGTGTCTGGCTCTTGGGTCTGCATGCCCTGAGCGTGCCAGGCCAGGACCTCCTCGTCCCTGTGCTCGTTTGTGAGATCTTGCAGTCACCCCTCTGAGGATGGCCGGCCAGACGCGGTGTGCAGAGCCCCCACAGCGGAGCCCTGCGCGCTGCCCTGGGTATCCACGCATCGGGGCCTGGCCCTTCCTGTCAGGACGCATTTGGTCTGGCCGTGGGGTGTGCTTGGGAGGCAACTCCTGGGTTCAAGTCCGAGCCCTCCCCAGCTAGGTGGCAGGACTTGCTCTGGAGGCTGTGGCAGGCCCCGTCAGAGAGGCATCTCTAAAGCTGTGTCTCCAGCTGCCAGGCTCTGCCCTCATCTTCCCGTCCCTGCAGCCGCTGGAGCCCTGACCTTCCCTCACGCAGGGCTCGCATGTCCACCCTCGTTCAGCCCCGTCCACTCCGCTCTGCACACGTGCCAGGGCAGCTTGGGGAGGCAGGACGTGGCAGGCCTGCCGAGCTCCTGGCCCTGACTGTGTACAAGAAGCACCTCTTGGCGAATGGTTCCTCACCCCACGTTTTGTCCCTCCAAGCCTTTCCACTGGGCTCTGAGAGAGCAGGAGGCCCCTCACGGGGGTGGCGCTGGTTTTCAGGCCGTATGGCAGCAGCCAGGAGTCAGTGAGTCAAAACCAGCCTCTTACCCCAGGGAAGTC